ATCTTGTATATACATATGTATACTCGTAATGTGTGCCATTTAACCACATTTGCGTCTAGAATTTATATGGTAGTCTGCATTTATTGGGTTTGTCTTTTTTTCAATAAGGTATGGTTAGAATAGGTCATTAAAAATTTATAAATTCGATAATTAAAGTTTAAAAAATTTCACAACAGTTGCAAATGAATTTTATGGGTGGTGAAATAACACAAACGGCAATAACGCAAAATTTGCTTTATTTCACTTTTAAATGGGAAATAATACCCAAATCTGAGTTATTATCATCTATTCATATTGTTTTTGTTTTTTTCACACCTTTCCTCCTTCAAAAATATACCATTTCAAAAAATTTCAATGTCTATTTATCATATTGCTCGAGCGTTATACGATCTAGAGTCCCAATGCATAAGTAGCCTATTACGCCTATTTGGTTACTTAAAGTTGACACTATAGACAATGTTTTTATGTAAAAATAAAAATTTTTTAAAATGATATAATCAAAAACAAATCAAAAAGAAAAATGTGTTCTTAATTTTTTTTTTTGTTTTTTATACGTTGCACATTAATGTAAAAAGTGTACAATTAAAGCCCATAATAAGACGGAAGAAATACATTTTTTATCATTGAGTTTCGTTAAAACGTTTCCAAGATACAGCACTTTAAAGAAAGGTATGTATGACGTTTTCTTAAAATTTAAGTCCCGTGTAAATAGGCAACCCTACGTCATATCGGCAAAATATGCTGCATGTATATTCATGTCACCTAGACCTTCAATCTCTTCAACTTTCATCCAAATCCTGAGAGGTCGCACACAGAGGTGGCCGCGGTGACATGAAATGTCTGTTCAGTTAAAATTTCTGCATTATCATCACTCCACTATGGGAAATTTGAGCCTATTTTGTGGCCAAAAGTCAATTTCTTGACTTGCTTGAAATTAATTTTTTTTTTCCTTATATTATGCCGAATTTCCACTAGGCATTGAAATGACGAAAAATTTACGCCATTAAAAAAAATGCCATGTGGAAATGAACTTAATGACAATTTTTTTAATGTAATGACACGATTATTTTGTAATGCCCGACTTCGTCATTTGTCATTTTTGCCATTTAATGCCTAGTGAAAATCCAGCATTACAGAAAATACTTCAAAGTAAAAAACTGTATACTCTATATTTCGATAGATTAACTTACCGTTGATTTGGTAACCCTCAAACAGATAGTTTCGAAATTTTCTGTAAACGAAAAATGTGAAGCTTGATTTTGTGCCACTTTCAAATGCGTGTTTCTCGTAATCTATTTGCTGCTTTTCAAAAGTGAAAAGTGGAAAGAAAGAGTAACAGTTAGCAGAATATATACCAATTAAAACTTGTATTATAGTTTAAAGGTGGGGCCAAAGAAACGTGAGCATTTAAGTGACTTTAAGGTGAAATTGTACAATTAAAAAAAAAGTTGATTTAGTGTTTTAAAAAATTTTTTAAAACGTTTAAAAAAACTCATCAAAAATCGGTAGAATAGTCCCTGATCTCTTATTTCCCCATAATCTTATACTGCGATTTTGTGCGATATTAAAGAAATTATAATTTTTCTTATGTAACTACTTGGTACAAAATCGTGAGTTTTATGAAATAATTCACGTTGTTATAATTTAAAAGTTAGAAAAAAACCTGTCAGATAACAAAGAGGAAGCTTTAAACTTAAGGTCAGTGGAGGATTCCAGTCGATATTTAAAATAGAACTTACGAGGCATCTGTTTATTGGGTTGAGGTCCACTGGACCCCGTGTGACCATTACGGGTTAATTTTTGCGCGGCAAGGCCAGTACTTCTAGTCCTACTACTGGGCCAAGTTTTAAATTGATATCTCAACTTTTAGAATTTTGGCCACAAAATAGGGTCAAATTTCCCATAGTGCACTCGTTTCAAAATATCCGAAATGTGGGTTTCGTTTACGAAGTCGAAACGAACATGCGGTACGAAATAGTGATGTAAAAATATATAAAATTTTACTTACTCTCAGACTTCTAAATTTGAACGAATACTCACTCGGTACAAGCAGGTGGGTTAAATGGCGCAATAAACAGGTTAAGTAATTAAACAGCTTTATCGCTTTATTCTGACATTCGGCTGTCTTATAGTCACATTTTATAGGCAAATTTTCAAATAAGGCTGTGTCAAAATATTTCATCTCTCTCTAATATTACTTCACATGGTATAATTCCACCATGGGTAGGGTGCATGCAATAACACCATACGCAATAATTCCTATTACTTGGACATTAAATAGCATTTTCAGAAGTGAACTAGTGTCATTTTATTATTATTCTTTTTTCTAAACGGCCATAATGCCAGCAGTTCATAATTGCGAAAGCATGGGAGGGGATGCGAGCGCGACGTCGACTTTTTGTCAAATGTAACCTACATATGTGCACTATTTTGCTTTATTACTCAAATTTTTAAGTTTAAAAGTTGGTCTTATTGCTCAACGAGAAATGAAATAAAGCAAATTTTTGTTATTTCACATTCCATTGCCGTTATTGCCGTTTGTGTTATTTCACCATGATTTGTATTCAACAATTTAAATAACACCTAAGAAACAAGAGCGTAGTCGTTGGCACTTGGATCCATGTTTTAAGTAAGGTGACCAGAACTTTTTAACATTCCAGGAGGACAAATTCTCCACATTGAAAACACAACAAATTTTTCATATTTATTTCAACACACAAATAACGAATAAATTAACAATTCAAAGTTTCTCTAAACACAGGTCAAATAAGTTAATAGTACACTGAATTGCATAATTATAAGACTGCCACATATTAACAAATTTTGAATATTTATTTTTAACCGACTTAAAAAAGGAATATATATAGTTTACTTGCACCTAACAAATTCTTCAAATTTCCGTCTATAATCTTTGAGAACTTTGAACGCCATCGTACCTAAAGTGAAAATAAATGACTGAAGTTTTGTATCTGCATAAAGAAAAAACAGTGTTGCCCTACAAAACAACTAAACTATGAAGCGGCCTTAAACTCTCACTGAAAAACTGGTCAGTAGTTTAAACTTAGTTTAAATTTAAACTGAGTTTAACTAAACTTAGTTTAAACTGAATTTAAACCAGCACTGAAAAACTGGGCCTAGAACGTCTGTAAAACCAATTTTTTCCGATTTTTAATCGAGCTAGCGCGCTTTAGTGAAAATTCATTGCACGCACGAAGAAGATAGTCAACTGCTGTTGAGCTGAATGTAATTTTTACATAAGAAATTGATATGACAATAGGTTTGTTTGTCGAGCAAAACATTTTTACGAATTTGTACGAATTATCATGATTTTTGCCAAAATCGCGTTCGTGCGGACCAAAGAATTATCCCACACTCAAAAATTGTGAGAGCAAAGTGACAGTTCTCTTGGAGAGAAGTTGCAAATTCTTGCTTGAACGATTTTTTTATGAAAAAATGAAGTAAATACTTGTTAATATAATTAGTTTAGTTAGTTCCAATGATTTGAACTTAACTCGGCTAAAAAAAAAATTGTATTCGCAATCGGAATGCAATTGCAACCAGAGTCGATTTAAGAAACCCGACTGCTAGTACCATAAAAAAATTGAAATGTATGTTAAAGAAAGTCAGAACAACAAGAAATACTTATACATGTATATCCTGTTTTTTGTCCATCTGAAAGAATTTAACAAATTCTATAAAAATTTATTATGTTTGAAATGCAACCGTGGACACCAGCTGGCAGGGAAACTTTCGAATTCCTGCAAATTTACGTTCGTGCAGAAATTTGTAAGTTTCTCAACATGAGAGAGAATTTGAGAGAATTTTTGATTACTCTCTGATATTTTGTGTGTTCAATAATTCTTGCTGGTTTTTACGACGAACAAACCTAATGTAATACATGACAATGTTAATTTACATGATTTTTAATGTTAATTTTACATGAGATTTTTCTTTCCGTGTACATATGTAGTTATGCGTATACTTATGTATGTATGTATAATATTTTTACTTTGTACATATGTACATTCTTAAGCATCTATAAGCTCATATACATACATAGATGCAATGGCCTTGGCAAGGTTTAAAGTCAGAAAGAAGATTGCGCATAAAATTTAAATTAACTGTTTCTTTTTGCATTCAGTTGTCATTACTTGTAGCACTTCTTTGTTCTCTGTAATTTATGAATAGTTACAAGACAATGAGTCACAAAGGTATTTGACACGATCGATGCCCTATTCGTGACACGTTCTTAGCTTGGCAATATTTTTACACTTAAATAAAAAGT